CCTCCGTACTGCAGAAGCCTGATCATCATCTGTTCCTTCATATCAGGTGTGTCGGAGCAGAGGAACAAGTAAAACATGCAGGGCTGCGGCCCCCCCAGGACCAGGACTGACCACCCCTGCTGCAGGTTAATCTCTGATAGGATAAAAACTAAAACCCGAGTCTGACCGGCATCAGTTTTAATAAATCTAAGACATGTAAGGACTCAGGTAGGTCAGAGACCCAGCTCTCACCTTGGGACTGTCCCCYCCAGAGGTCTCTTTGTCGTTCTCAGGCTGGGAGTTATCGTTTATGAGCTGCAGCTCTGCAGAGCTGACCATACGGCCCCCCATCCTGTAGCCTGAAGAGCCCGCACCCCGAGGGCTGGAGGGGCAGGAGTTAGCAGCACTGCAAAAAACAAACAAACAAACAAACAAAAATTAAATATTAGTTACTCTACAGAACATTTAAACCAACTTCTGACTGTGTTTAGGACCCGACAGGCCTGATCTCTCTGTTTTTGGTTTTAACAACAAGAAACAAACTAATCTTGTTTTATTTGCTATTAGTTTCCTGCAGCCGGTAACTTCACACCAACTGTTTGGGCGCCTCCCTTTAAAGAAGGAAGCGACGCATCGTTGCTCCACTTCATGTCAGGAAACACTGCAATCGTCTGAGGAGCCTCAGGTCTTTAACGCCTCTTCAGATTAAATTTAACACCAACGTCACGATGAACACGAGCTGCGAGCGGCATTCAGTAAAATAATTCAAAATTAAGTTTCCAATTCTTTTAACATTTGAGATGAATTACAGTCATCCTACTTACAATMTGTTCACATTGTAAGACCTCTGAAAGATTGATTTAAGGCATTTTAAGGCTAATTAAGGCCTTATTTTTACACTGATGAATTCAATGCGTTTCAAGACTTTTTAAGGATCTCCAGGAACCCTTTAACCTCTTAAGGCCCAAGGCCTTTTCTTGAGGTTTTTGCTCAAAATACCATGTTGAAATGTAACTGAGTGTATCTCAGCTTTTACAAACGCTACTTAAATAATCTTGATATCAAAATAAAGCTAACAGTTGGGAGGTTTCATCAGAAGTTAAGTATTAAAACAGCTGCTGCTGTTTTAGAGATGTTGGGGATGGAACATAATTTATTCTGATTTTTTCCCCTCCTGTCTGAATAATTTCTGCATTAGTCAGTATATAACCATTTAAAATCAGGTTAAAACCTCTTGGAAACCATAAAYCCACYTGTGGACAAAGATTAATGCTGCTAAAACGAACTGGAGTAAAGTTACAGAGGTTTTAATAAAGAAATAATTTAGTGTTTTATCATCCTGCACAGGACAGATCATGATGGTACCAATAATAAATGTTAAGATATTTGTGTTTTTAATTGCAAAAGTTATTTATTTTTCTTACCTGCCTTAAAAGACTTGTTATTGAATGTTTGTTCTTTTGAAAAATTATCCAAACATTTA